GGAGTGACAGGCTGTTTGGGCTCACGGCCCAGAATCAGCGCGCCGCTAGTTGGCCCGTCAGGGACGACCAACTAGCGGCTGACCACGAGAGGGCCAGGCTGGCACGGGGGAGGGGGTCGTGTTACGTGAGGACCAGGCTAGCGCGAGGGGATGTCAAAAAGGGCCAGGCCGGCACGGGGATTGCATAAAGGGTCGCGCATCGGGGTGTCATTAACACATAAATACACAATCCCCGTGCCAGCTAGCGCCGGGGGATGTGTCACGTTTGGACTAGGCTAGACGGAGAGTTGTGTCATGAAGGGACAGGCTGGACGGGGGGTTGTGTCATGAAGGGACAGGCTGGACGGGGGGTTGTGTCATGAAGGGACAGGCTGGACGGGGGGATTGTGTCATGAAGGGACAGGCTGGACGGGGGGTTGTGTCATGAAGGGACAGGCTGGACGGGGGGTTGTGTCATGAAGGTACGTTACACGTTGAATTGTGGGTTTATTTTGGGTTAAATTGTTGGTGGTTACTGTGAAATTGGTCTACTGACGTGGCAATGTTGGGAGGAGAGAGACTCTCAGTGGCCCGAAAATGTTTTGATCCTAAAACCATCGCTGCTAAATGTACGATACGCATGCCATTTGTCTGCGGTGAGCTATGGAAGGGACTGGATCTATCGAAAAAAGCTTTACTTTTAGTGTGTACGAAGTTGGACCATGTTTGTGGGATTCGTTCGTTGTGTCTCTTTCTACTTCGAGTTTCCTCCTCACGATGTGGTAAATTTGCAAGGTTTGGGCACCAGCACACGGGCCCAAAAGGAGACGAGTACCGCCAAGTACCACCTTCACTCTGATGGCGTTCACTCCCAACAGATTGGTGGAAGACAAGGCGCAAAGGCGGGTTAAATCTGGTGTACGTATTTTGTTGGGGCCACGGAACCTTTGTAAAAAGTTATGCAAAAGTTTTAATTACTTCATTACAGTAAGTCTGGCAAAAAGAGAGACCAAAGCCATTCCCATAACGATGCAGAGCGTCTAATCAAATCACCATGTACAAAGGGAGGCATATAATGGGCATTTGAATCCAGAGATGACCTTGCCGTCCGAAATATAATACTTAATTCAGAGATGACCTTGCCGTCCGAAATATGATACTTAATTCAGAGATGACCTTGCCGTCCGAAATATAATACTTAATTCAGAGATGACCTTGCCGTCCGAAATATAATACTTAATTCAGAGATGACCTTGCCGTCCGAAATATAATACTTAAGTTGCCGGAGAATGTCCTCTTTTGCCCAGGCAACCATTGGTTCAACTGTTAGTTGCGGACGATTTCATGCTTGGCAGAGCGGTTCCGTGTTTGTCGCCGGCGTCGGCGTCGGCGTCCGGCGCGCGGCACCTGTCCGGGCCTGGCGCGGCCGCATCAGCAGCGGCCATCTGCCGGCGCCGCCGCGCCGCTTCCCTGGTCACGGGATGAGCGACGACGACGACCGTGAGTGCAGCGGCCGGGAACGCGCCTGGGAGCGGGCCGCCGCGCTGCCGGCGGAGCGGCCGCAGCTGTGACGTCGCGCCGGGACGCGACGGGAGGGACCACCGACACGGCTCGATCCGGCGCGTCCGGCCGCTGCGCCAGCTGACGCACCGACGGACGCGCCGCGTGTCGCCCCAGATCCAGGTCCAGCCGCGTCCGAGATCGGCGCGGATTCGGTGCCGATTTGGCGCCGCCTGCACGGCCGGGGTGCCGGCGTCGGCCCCAGATCCCGTCCAGAGGCCCACGTCGACTTCAGTCGGCCGGTGGTGGCAGGTCATATCGAGCGCAGTGGTCACCGGCCAGCCGAACGCTCACCCGCCATCCACTCGGCTGACGGCAGACGGAACGTCGGCTCCGTACTCAGCTGGCGGCGGACGGAACGTCAGCTCCGTACTCAGCTGGCGGCGGACGGAACGTCAGTTGGGTAGTCTTGCCCGTAGGATCGCTGGCATGTGTTTGAATTCGGTGGGTCAGATCTCGCTCCAGTCTGGCTCCATCTGACAAGCTCGGCATCCACTGAGAAGTGTCTGTCTCGTATCGCTTCCCTTCACTAAACGCCGCGGCCCCCGCATCGCTCGACCAGCTCCAGCACTGGAGCATGCCTCGCCACAGGGCGACACGTGGACCCGTTTTCGCAAGCGGTGGTCGGCTGGGTCTCCTCGCCGGCGTGGCGACACAACGCCACGACACACCGGGGTGACAATGGGAAGAAGCTGCGGCCGGCGCGTGCCTTGACGCTGCCGGGCCGCTGTCGGAGGAAGCATAGGCGATGCCGGTCCCGTGAAAATCCGCGACGGAGACCGATGACTGGCACCTACGGTGGGTGGCTTTTCTTTGAAGGTCAGGCTTTCAGCGCTGGTGGCAAATAAAGAGCGAATCAAGGGTTGCCAACCCAAAGTCACCCGTGCGCTCCGACTTGTTGGGGACTGTTGACAAGACCGAAGGACTGAAGTGTGCATAGGTCAGCTTAAAATGCAATCGCATGCGCAAATGTAGCACAGCTGTCGTGCGGCACTCACATTCGGCGTGATGCGCATCATGTGGCATTACAGTACCGCGCCGATTGGGAAGGCTTCAGGTGATTCTCAAGAGGCAAATGACACGAGGGGCCTACCACCCCGGACTTGCTGACGCGCTTTGCGCGCGCAAACGTTCTTGAGCAGTTGTGTGGCTTTAAAACTCGGATGGATGCTCTTGCATCACGTGACACCATATACTCTTCTCGACCTTAAAGCCCTCGTGGCAGGCGCCGGAACCTTGCCCTAGTCGATACACGCACTGAGATCATTCCAGCCGAAAACAAATACAGTTCGGCCTTCGTTCGCGCATTTGCGTCAGTACAACCGTAATGGCTACGGTCAGCTTACGCCACTGCGTTAGATGTTCTCTTACTTCTCCTGTGCTCGGGGACACACATTCAAAGCAGCATTGTCATCTGGCAGATTCCCATGCCTCACGCATGTCAAACCGGTGGCGCACAAAGGTTTTGTAACCGAATGTCAGCGACTAAAGCCGACACTTTACGTGCAGCTGTCGTCAGCGGCGACATTCTGTGCGGCGCCAGACGCTGGATGGCCGCGTGGAGTCGGCGCGCCGCCGTCTGAGACATGCGCCTGACGTGAGCGGTGAGACAGCGTCTGGTGGGAGCGATGAGATAGCACCTGGTGAGAGCGGTGAGATGGCGCCTGGTGTGAGTGGTGAGATAGCGCCTGGTGTGAGCGGTGAGATAGCGCCTGGTGTGAGCGGTGAGATAGCGTCTGGTGTGAGCAGTGAGATAGCGCCCGGTGTGAGCGGTGAGATAGCGCCTGGTGTGAGCGGTGAGATAGCGCCTGGTGTGAGCGATGAGATAGCGTCTGGTGGGAGCGGTGAGATAGTGCCTGGTGGGAGCGGTGAGATAGTGTCTGGTGGGAGCGGTGCTGGCTGTGGGAGTGGCGCCGCGCCGACCGGTCGCAGGGCTGGCGTGTCGCCGGCGCGCGCCGCCCGTGAGTTTCGCGCGGGTCGTCTGCCTCGTCCGGTGCCGCCAGGCCTCAGCCGAGCGTGCTGACAATAGCGTCGCTTCCGGCCGGCGCAGTCACCGACGTGCGGCGTCACCGACGGCGCTGGCTGCACGTACCGATATTAATGACCTCCGAGAGCGCCTAATGGCCGGTAATGGGCCCGCTTTTGACTCGTGCGACCTCACGTGGCATGCATTTCACCAAGGTCGAGAGATTGGGGGTGTCTCCGGCTGGTCTAATGACCGACCTGGAGTGGCCCGGGCACGCGAGACGTCATACTCGGGCTCAGACGGGCACGCGCTCTGCACCCCCCCCCCCCCCCCCCCCCCCCTGGTGGGACGGAAACGTAGCGGAGCACCTCCGAGAACCCTCGATCTGGTTGATTACCGAGCCTGAAATGGGCATCAATTATCAGAAGGAATCTTCTCGCCTTTGGATTAAGGAAGAAGCTTCACTTCACTTCACCTCTTCCCTAAGTAGCAGGCCAATGATCACAACAAGCAGATCATCTCCCATTCTTCATGAAGGCTACGCAGGCCAATGCTCGAGGTGAGGCCCGCCTCTCAATCCCGCCGGGTCAACGGCCGGTCACCCAGCTTCAGTCGTGTGCTGCAGCAGCCATGGTTGAGGTAATGGGCGGCGCTGGCACCAACTCTGAACACCACGACAGCGCAGCGCCGATCTCCGCGGTATTCGGGTCTTGTGTCTGCTGCGCGACGACAGACACTGTTGATGGGGCGGTGTTCCTCACTTTGCAGAACAAAGCGTGACTGCGAGACATTGATTTTATGTCAACTACGGGAATTTCCAGTGCCAGGAAAACAGCGATCTGACTGACGTTATTTCCGTAGCATTGTTCCCATCATGTGATGGCTGTGTTCCTTTTTCGACGACTACGGATCGTCCATCAAGTTCACCGGTGCCGGCAACCGCAAGCATGTTATGTCCACCGAAAATTAGTTTAAGTACAAGTGCTGCAATCGTAACGTGGTTTGGTGAACCCTATGACTGCAATACCCAAATAAACGTTTTTGTCCAAGACAGGACTATTGTGCCATCTCAGTGATCATGAGTTACTTTTTCATGCCCGCCTGACGCCAAGCTTCGGAAATAAGCACAGGTCCGTGGTCTACGGGGTGTAATAGAAAGCTGATAGCTCTTTGCCTCAAGTTCACATAAGCATCAGATGAATCTTGCCATCGCCATGCTCTCTCAAAACCTTACCCTCGGCTTCATGCAAGGACACACACATTAGGGGGGATCAATGTAATTCGGCTCCAGAGGAGAGTACTTTCTATGATATCAGTAAGGAAGGTCTTTACTCCTTGTCGTGTACTTGACTCCTTTGCTGAAAGTCACTGGAGTCGTTGGAATGTCCTGTGTATCTGCTGGAAGTCAGATGTTTTCAGGACAGGAAGCCATAATGCACAAGTTGTTTAAAGTATGTCATATTTGCCCTGAGACCAGCGGCCTCTCTGCTGACAGGGGATGAAGGACAACTCGCAGTGGTACCTGCCGTGGCTGGTGCGGCCGTCTCAGCCGCCGGGGCCAGCGGAGCCGGCCAGTCCCCACCGGGCCGGAGTGGTCCGCAGGCGGCGCAGCATCAACCAGAGAG